CGCGCCCCCGTTGCGTCATGCCGTCTGTTCGCGAGCTTAGTATACCTTCATCCGATAGCGGGATTTCTCAATGTCGTGCTCTCTCGCCGAATTATTTCCATCCGCGCGGCTTATCTCTCTAAAAACGAATTACGAGCATGGCGTACTTCCACGGCTACTGTATAACAATACTTCATATATACGTCCGATCTAATTCGACTTTACGAGCGATATGAACGTTCGTCTTACGACATCCTCGGAGCGAAGAAGCGATACGATCACGCGCGACTGTTTCCACCTCATTCCGGGGCGTCGTCCAATCCGCCTGATTCCATTCCCGTAAAGGTGCTCGCTGCACGTACTATATACACTGCACGTGAAATCTCTGTGCTCTGCCCCGCAGGTTTTCTCGTACGCGAAGGTCTACCTCGGCACAGGTGGCAACCAGTTTACCGGCGAACCTGTCCATTTCTCTTACATACCCGATCAGGTGCTCGAGCAGGCGCGCGAGGTCACCATAAAGCTGCACTCGCGCGCCGGCCGCTTCCTGAAGTTGCAGCTCTACTTCGCCGCGCGGTGGATCATGCTCAGCGAGGTAATCTTCGAATCAGGTAAGCGAAAGATCGATTTTCACCGTTTTCCCCACCTCTCCGTGCCGTCCCACGCGCGCGCACAGTCGAAATTTATCTCCTGGCTGTTACTTTCGGTAACACTCGCGCGCGTGTTCCCCTATAGCGTCGCGTCGGAACGATCGAGAGTAATAGCGAAGCTAAAGCATCGTCTGGAGGATTCGCCCTTTAACCCCCCTCCCCCCTCCCCCTCCTCCTTTAACCTTCCTCGCATTTATAGACGCACTTTTAGTTAAACGGAAGATCAAAGTAGGCGGTCCAGAAAATTGAAATCTATAGAACTAGAACAGTTTCGAAGCGCGTCTTATCACGGGCGCGCGATTCGACGCGATTTCCAATTTTAAGTGACATACTTTCGTCGAAGATATGAACACGGTAATACTGCAGGTGGTATAGAAAGAAAATCGTCCCGAAGAGAAAAATTATTCCGACGGTATAGCGTATAGTTTCAAGAAAAATGTGCGCGATAGATACGTACAACTATAAAACTGATATAAGATAAACACGTTTTGCACAGAGTCTCGCCGATTTGGAGAATATGGACATAAAAAAGTGCTTAATAGAAACCAATATCGATTGAGGAAGTACATAACAAGAAGAAATACTTAAGAAACGCCATGGAAATGAAAACCGAAACTTTACTTTTTTATTATTCAACTATTATTATTCAATACATGTGAATACAGTTTTGCTGCTTATAAATTTAAGAATAAACTTCTTTTTTTTATTATTTTCTTTTTATTTTATTTTTTTATTATTTACTTCTTTCCTTTATAGAGCTTAACAAAATAAGTATAATGTGCTCTCTAAAGGAAAATATCTTTCGCAGTTACATATATTTACCGTCGGAATTGCGCGGACAATAGTATCGTATTCCAAACAAAAAGACAGAGTGTGAAACATTTAAAGTTTCTGAAATCGTTTAGTCCTACGTTGTGTTGTTTGCTCGACTTTAAAGCACCGCGGAAAGCAAAAAGCAGAAGTATCCACGGCACGTTGTGCGAATGAGAGCACGTGGTCGCGGACCGGAAACGAAACTTACTTGCCATACACATACACACACACACACACACACACACATTCGAATATATACTCTCAAAAAGTTTTGTCTCGAAAAGCCGGAATGTTGCACGAGCTAGACGAGCGAAGCCGTCGTTAATCATTCTCTCAGTGCGCTGTGTTCTTTCCTTTCACGAGAAAGATAACTTCGGCAGCGTAACGTTGAAGCGAGTGATTTTCTTTGTCACCATATCAAACGGTACATAAAACTTGCACGTTTTTTGAAAATTGAAATTCTTTTTTAAAACGTACAATGTAATATTTCTTTCGGTAAATTTCTAATATGCGTTATGTATGTTTATTGTGCAACAATGTGTTGTCAATATTTTCCGAAGTAGAATATCTTCTTTACGAATTCACGGGCAAGAACGCGTATGTAAAAGTTAGCATGTGTGAAGTTAGCACTCCAACAATAAAATTCCATATCGTTCTGATTAGAGTTCCTGCTTTATTTTGAAGAGACGAAGAGTTTCCTTATAGTTTATAACAAGCCGCTCAAAACTATTCGATCGTAAATTTTGATAAGAAGTTAGCAATCCATTTTTTAAATTTAAATTAAAAATTGTTATTAAGTAGAACTCTTGTTATAAAAACTATATAGGGAACTCTTCGTCTCTTCAAAATGAAGCGGCAACTCTAATCAGAACTATGGGATTTTATTGTTGGGGTGCTTTACACACACGACAAGAACAATGTATTGATTACTAATTGTTCTCAATATATGACACTTTTCTATTCATTGCTGTTCTCAAAACAATAGTTTTGTTTGCTCGGATAGAAAATAACTCGAATCCCTATATAGATCGAGGGTAATCCATACGCGGAAAATATCACGGAGCAAGAAATATTAATGTATAACAGCGATGCTATCGAGAAACGCTCTGAATTAGAATTGTATAAGAAACTTTATTAAACATTTATGAGTTTGTAAAGCTATTACGACTACTACACTACAGCTTATTTAAGAGAGCCTTTAAGTTCTTTAAATACAAACGCAAACAGTTAGAATCAAAACTGTAATCTCTTCTGTTTGCTATAACTTTTAGGAGCAAAAAAGAGTTTGTAAACTCTTTCTAGGAATTAAAAGCGCGTTTCTCATCGCAATGCGATGTCGCTTGGACAATGCAGTATTTCGTAGCACCGTGAGACTGGTGTTCCCGATATAGTGTTCCGAGTTTGGTCAACAAGGTCGATCCTGCGGTTCCGCAGCGGCAAAACGCAACTGTTACGGCAACTTATCCAATGACTAGCTTAATCCAACAACGGCGGTATCGTATATCGATCACCAATATTTCTTTTAATCTGTCTCAAACGATCCGAGACGGAACTTAGGCTGCCGGTCTCTGCAGGTAATGCAAGCTTTCGAAAGTTCCATGTCGCTTCGTTGCACCGGGCCGACCGCGGGAGTGGGTATGTCGTTAATCATTCGACGTACTCCGGTGCTCCCCGTCCTCGACTGCGAGCGATAAGTTGGACCGACCGGCCCAGAGGCGACCAATGTTCCTCGTCACCTGTATACCACATAACTCGTATTCACGTCGCACAAACGCTTCGTTGAGCCGCGTCATCGATACGAAAATATATATCGTCCCCTCCCTCCCCCATCCGTCCGCCTGTTCACCCCTTTGGCACCGGCATCGAGTTTTCCACCGAGCGAACCGCATCGCGCGAAAGCTGCGACGAGAGTCGGCAGTTCGCGGCCCATTTCGATTAATTTTCCTTTTTATAAATCGCGCGTACGAATCGCGTCTAACTGCTCGAAAATTGGAATATTTTCTGGTGTCCATTAGTCGATAAACTGCCGCGGCACTAATTTTCAGTTTGCCTAACGGGAAATTCCAGCTGCGTGTGACACGAATTAAATTCTGGTCGCGATATTTGTTCGTTTTCAAACGATCGATGTCGTAGAAAACTATTCCGCATACAAATGAAATTCTATGTCCATATACCGTGGCCACAAAGGACATTTGCACAATCCGATGAAATTGTCGAAAGAAAATGCATGACATTTAACTCATTTTCGAGGCATGTTTCTCTCTGTACTGATTTCTCTCTGTACGATGCCAAAAACCAGATTCGTTTCTAATAACTAGCATATCAGTCATGTATTATCAATGATGTTACAGCGTAAAATTTATCAAGTTATTAATTAATTCAATTAGTCCCAACAATGCTTTTCTCACTGTACGATACGTATAGACGTTTTTTTTGCGCCTGAATATTTAATACGACGCTTGACGAGGGTGGATTTCATTAGTTCTAATCCTGAATGCACAGTTATCTCCGAATGGAACAATACCGAGGACGAGGAGGCGAAGAACAAGAGCGCCATTGTACTGGCGACCGGCAGCCCCTATCAAAATAACGAGGGTCCACTGCAGAGAGACGAAGTGAAGGCTACTTTTAATAAGGAGGAAAGCAAAGATAACACCTGTAAGTCTACCGTCCGATTTTTCCATTGTTACTCCGGTAAGCTACGTTCATAATTTTCCGCGTAATTGACGCTCTTTTCACCGAGCTTTTTTCTCTTGTCAAGTTTTATAACAATGAACTCGATATATCACGAAAGAATTGTATGTCGGAAAAAAGGATCATTACGCGAAGATCGCTAGCGATTTACTAATATAGAAAAATGGTAATTTGAATATTCACATAATATGCACTCACATCGTGAAGAGATTTCATAAACGAATACAAAGTTGACTAGTTTTTTAACGATATTATTAAAAATTTAATGAATTTAATGAAAAAAATCGAAAAAAAGATTAAGTATAGCTATAATAAAAACAAATGCAGACGAATTCACATTTAAAATATAAAAACACATTAATAAGTTTAGCTTATAAAAACGAATACAGATGAACTCACATTTGAAATATTTAAAAATGTGAAATAAAGATAATAAGGAATCTAATTATATATATATATTACATGCAGATAATTTACATTTTTTCTGACATTCGGCACGACTCTAATCATAATTATAATTGAAAAGGCAATAACTTGCATCTTCAGCGAAATCCTCTTTCTGATACGCGACGTCCTTACACCGCAATTAATGGAAAAACGGTGACGACGGGGCTGGGGAAACCCCGTGAGATCGAAAGAACTGCGCGAAAAAGTACATCGAGTAGTCCCGGGGACGTCCTCGATTACCTGCAAAAGAAACGTCACGGAAGAAAAAGAGCGGTCGCTTTTGTCCCTTGGCCGCGTCGAGTTTGTTAACCAATAGAACGACTGCCCTTTTTTTTTTATTCTCACAAAAGCCGCGCAATTAACCTGATTAATTCTTTAACTTTCTCTTTGACTAAGACAGCGAGACGCGGCATCGAGACACCGTTAAAAAGATCAAGATTCCTTAACGAAACTTTTAATGCTAATTGATTTCGATATTCTAGAAGATGGGCGACGAACTAATTTGTGTTTTCTACGCTCCGCGACTCGCACTATGCATAGCGCAAAATTTTTCAATCGCACAGCAACGATGCCGGAATTGCTGAAATTTCTTCATAACTGCTGCCAGGTTCGAGCTCGCGTGCTCGTCCAATGTATGTTTGTATTTGTATACATTGCTTGCGAACTGATGCTCTTTGCGTGTCCGCTTGTTAAATTCGCCCAAGGTAAAGCGCAAGAAAGCGGGACGAGGTATTTATGTTTTCTCGCTTGAAGCGCGACGTATACCTAATACTCATTACGTATTACACCGCGCAGAAAGGTACGAATGGAGCGCCAACGCGGGTAATAATCTGCGAAGTAATGGAACAAATGTTCAACGATATACTGGGAGGAATAACATTATGCTTTCTTGTCGGTGTTCTATGACATTGTGTCAAAATTGGTTTTACGAAAGAAACCAATTTTGAGACTGAAATGTTGAAAACTAAAAAAAAGCGTAGAGCGAGATGAAATTTTTTGTCGCAGATATATCTTTATCCGGAAAATTAAAGTCTCGTTTTTCTGATATTTTTATTTGAAGGAAAGATGAGGAAGGGAAGAATTTATTAGAGTTTATCAAAGAAAGTTTATAACTCGTAATTAGTTTTGATGTCTGTGCGTGAATTACGTTTTCTCTTATAAAGAAATATTGAGATAAATGTTTCCTTTCTCGCTAATGGATAATTAATTTTTTTTATTTATTGATCGATTGACTTTGATATCCGTTCCGAAGAAAAGTCAAATATACAGATACTATTTAATGTTTTGATATCATTTGATAATATCGAAACTCTGAACATAAACGTGCCAATCGTGTTTGATTAAGAAAAAAATCTTATTAGATGGTTTTCCTGTCCGCGTTTATTGATTTATAAAATACTCAAGCGTTGATCAGGCCGTTGCGGTGGACTACGAAAGCCATCAGCGGATATTGTTTTTGTTCAGCCGGGCACTGATCAACCGTGATCTAGTTACGAGCTTCGTGATGAACGCAATCATCATTATCGTTCCATCGTACATTATGCGAGGTTACCTCGGCGGTATTATCTACGGTGATAGGTCGTGTTGCTTGATGCATCAAGCGTCATGGGCGGATGAATTCGCTATCACGTACACGCGCGGTTCAGCTGTCTGTAGCTGCCTCGAAATATTATTAATGGAAAATTCTTTTGTTATCAGAATAGCTGTCGTTACCATTGATCGATATTTCACTTGCTTGATTCGAAATGACAGCCGCGATTATTTAAATAAAAGTTTGTCAATTGTAACAAGACGAAATGAGACTGATTATTTTCAATTAATGAAAGACTTTATTTGAGAAGAACTCAACTGGAAAACTGTGTGTTTTTTTAAACAGAAAATGCAATTACTAGAGCTACTAGAAAATTTAGCAAAATGAGACATGAAAAATAACAAAAGGAAAAGAGCACCGAAAAAGATTCCATTAAATAATTGCTTAAACGCTGGAGATCGGCTTCGAATCCTTAGGAATTACGATCGATGTCGCGATTAATTAATGTAAATTATCTGTAGAGCGCAGTCTAAGCCAGTGACAATGTGCAAGATCACTGAGCTTGCAGTGTAACCGTTAATCGTTGAGCTAATCGATTCCCTCCGTATCCCCGACATGACGGGTGCATCTGTTTACTACATATACATACATCCAATCGTTTATATATATATATATATGTAGACACCCTCCCTTCTCAGTTCCAGATAAGAGCAAGGAGCCGGAATCGAGGCAGTTCGTCGGTTTAGTTATCGGCATCCTGACGACCGTAATTGTAATGCTGCTCGCGGCGATCATGTTCATCTTCTATAGGAACCGTAGGCTCAAAGCTGCTCTCGCACCGTCAAACTTCTACGATCAACAGGGTGATCTCAAGGTTATTATAAACTGCCGCATAATTAAGCACCGCCGTAATATTAAGTCATTATAGATTGTCTATGTATTCAATGTATATATAAACCTCTAGAACTTATTCAAGTAAAATCAATTTCTCTTAAATCATGTAAAATACAAGTAAATTTATTGTATCACGGGAGAGATGACTTTGTAATACGGCGTTTCTTTTTATCTAGCATGGTACAATCTGTTAGTGTTTTATCGATATTTTAAAATAATAAATATAACAAAAAAAACTATTTTTTACATTAGACACACGAAAATTGAGACTAGTCAAAGAGTAGATAGCGCGCAGCGATGCGAATTATCGCGATACTAATAATTTGGTAAATGACAAGACGATTTTGTTCTCCGGTCGCAATTTTTCTTTGCCTAACTCCCGACCTAGTTTAATACCGAAGTCTCGCCTCTGGCTCTAATAAACCGAACAGGTACATCTATTTACTCTGCGCTTCCAGGTCACTTTACGGCGCTTTTGAGCAATCGCGCAAAACAGCTTATACCTACCCATTACGTACATCGGTTTAGGTACGAGCGCGCGCGTAACTAGAGGAGAAAATACGGCGATCAAATATTTTCCTTTTAAGGCGAGGACGCAAACGAGATCGTGCTAGGACGATTAAAAGAACGCTCCGCGAGATTGTTCGTTATGCCCTCTTATCCGTGAAGCCTTTTACATTCGTCCGGCCGAGCTTCACACGACCGTGGAATTTGTACGCGTTAATTGCTTCGCGTAGTCATAACGATAATTACGATAATTACGTGAAAAGAAAAGCTCGTGGGGATAATTAGTAAGCGGCTTGATTACGACGATAGGCGAATTATATGCGCGCGACAGACGTCGTAATTCTTCCCTCCCCCCCCCCTCCACCACCATTACAATAGAATGCTTAGGAACAAATAGGAAAAATAATAAGGAGAAATATCTTGTAATGCACGTGCAGACGACGCTATTTTTCTCTGACGTCGCATTCCATCGTAGCGGAAGAACCCGCTGGAAACGTTTTCCGGCGAAAGAGACGTCTCGCACCTCGTTCTAACGCGGAATGTCTAACTTTGTCGTAAATTCCACTCCGACTCCTGTCCTACGGAACAACAAGAATTATTAACGTCGCTGCGTTTACCGCCCTCTCCCAGGGTGGACAGTTTGCACGACTTTCACGATGTATGGTCTATAACGTTAAACCCGGCTCTTTAGTAATGCGCAATGGTGACTCGCTCCATGAAATCGGTTTTCTTTTATAAAGTGGAAAATTAATCAATCAATTTATCAAATCTCTCACGCTCGCTCGAGATAACATCGTGAAGAAGAACGTTCGCAGGGGGAAAACTGCGAGGAGAGAAAAGTCGAGGGTGGTAGCGCACACGCGTAGCCTTTCATTACTTGATTAGCTGTTATCTAAGTATACGAAATCAGACCAACGATTTGTGATGGTTAGCGCGCAGGGTAACAAGGTAAGAAGTGAATTCTGCAGTAAGTAATCTCTATAGATAAAAGTGCCGTTGGATGAGAGGCGAGAAAATAAGGACGGAGGAATAAAACGTTAGAGGAGAATTGAGCATGTTACGCAAAAAGTTAATACTTGCGACTTGGAGCAGAGCGAAGAAAGTGAGGCTGAACGGAGAAAAAGAAGGAACTCTGAGAACTTCGCGTATGTTTACCAAGCCACTGTTGTTCTAACCGGATTAATAGCAAAGTGAAGTTCGTTCGTAGAAATGGACAGCGCTTTCCCATCCTTTTTCGCGGGATATAGCGGAAGACAGTAATTAACGACTTGCTGAACGATGAGAAATAATGAGTGCCAGACAGTTGAGCTTGCAAACCCTTGAAGCTTTCCTAACTTAACTGTTTGCACGGACGGAGGCAACTGGAGAAACGTACGGAGCGACAGTCGACAATTAATAACGACGCTAACAACCTATCGAAATAAATTGAAGAGCCGCGATGGCGACATTAGCTATCAGGGTGACTAATTAGTCACTCGGAATATTTCATTCGGCTCATTATTAATTGTGATAAATGAGGCGAAAGAAAGTTCTAGGAATCCAAGGAGCGCTACCAAACTGTCCTCTATTACTACGCGAGAGAGTTTACAATTTGAAAATAATAATTTAAATGATAATTTATATCGCACACTTTCGATATATACGCGGGAGTAAACATAATATTCATATATTCAGCAAATATGTGCGGTGCGGAATTAATTAATCGCGTTCGATCAATTTTGCTTGTAAATACGAAAGAGAGCACAAAACACGTTTACGTAATATTTTTAATTTGCTTGGCGAAGCCTCGAGCGCGAACGTGCACGAAGTCTCTTTCTCTCCTTCCCCCCCCCCCCTTTCCATCCTACCTTTACCATACATCACTCAAGATATATTCTTCGACAACCCAATATCTTCCACGGCTAAGTTTTTACCAGCCGCCGAAGAAGTGCACCCGGTAGTCGAGCTGACTCCACTTAATTAAAAGAGCTGCCGGGATGGCCGTATTGCCATCCGCCGCGCCATCGTCGTCGTCGTCGAGAAGACGTGCGTTATCTTCGTCGTTCACTCGCCGTTAAGCGGCGTCATATACACTCCAAACGCCTTCTTCTCCTTGCCCATCTTCACCGGGCCCTCCTCATCCGCCTGCTCCACGTTCCCGACATTAGCCACCTGCTACTTGTCCCGTCTTGAAGTCTCCGCGCGAGCCACCCTCCCCGTTTTGCCCCCTCTCCGCGAAATGACCCTATTGCCCTTCGTGCAACCTGCGACCCACGTCGGATCTCCAGAGAATGGCAGATTATGTCTGCCAGGTAGAAACCGCTGTCAATTTATCGAGCAATACGGGTCGGGAGGAACAACTCAGTTTCCGCTTGTCCTCACTTCGCTCGCGTACACACCTGATTCAATCCGACGAGATGTTGAGCCGAGATATAACGTGCTCAGCCCAGTGCTGAAAACACCGACGTTTTTCTCCCGCGAACTGCCGTTAATTAAATAGACGGCAAATTTATTTCAGCATAATTATTCATTGCCAGCTCTCGTTGGTTAAATACCGTATTACCGTCTACCGGTGCTCAATTAATTAATCTGCCTATGACTGCAGGCTACAACTTATTAATCATCTGCAGCTCATTGTTATCGATCGATTTTGTGCTTGAAGATCTTCGCGCAAAGCGTCTTTATTTGTCGAATTTTGGTGCGTTCGAACATCCATTCCGTCGTAGAATTTATCTTATCTCTTCCCTCTCTCTCTCTCTCTCTCTCTCTCTCTCTCTCTCTCTCTCTCTCTCTTCCTCTCTCTCTCTCTCCTTCTATCCGGCGTAGTCAGGAAGACCATTTATAGGACACAAGACCCCGACAATTTATCGAGCAACATGAACTATGAAAACTAAACTTTGTTTCGTGGATGACACCATATCGATCTGTCTGATCCCATTTAGAACGAATATGATGGAGGACTCGCTTTTTTTTGACACGCCAACTCCATCGGTCTGCTTTAAAGCGTCGGAGGGAAACTCCGTGGGATAGTATATCGCTTAAAGCCCCGCGAAGTGTTGTGCTTTTTTTCCCCTCCCTCCTCCCCTCTTATCCGGGAATTTACGATGCAGCAAATTCTTGTTCCAGATTTCATTGCGCGGTATTATTTAATTTACGTAAACGCGTCCATCCACGCGTTACAGGTCAAGCTATTCTTCAGCAATTAGCAAATCAAATTATATTGAATTATCTACATATCAGTGCGTTGCAATAAATAAACCCGTTTACGACATTGCCTTAAGGGCACGTGCGTGAATCATATTGCGTTATGCGCAAAACGTATCGGACAAACAATAACAGACACGCGCGTGATTTTATTCAATCCATAGAATTTATTATTATCGAATGTGGCACAGCTCTCTGACTGTGATGCAGCTCTGCGAACGTGCATTCACGTATGTGTATTTCGTGTATGATGTGTATGTGCGTGTGTGTGCGTGTGTGCGTGTGTGCGTGTGTACGTGTGTCGTGCGTGTGTGTGTGTGTGTGTGTGTGTGTGTGTGTGTGTGTGTGTGTGTGTGTGTGTGTGTGTGTGTGTGTGTGTGTGTGTGTGTGTGTGTGTGTGTGTGTGTGTGTGCGTGTGTGTGCGTGTGTTGTGTGTGTGTGTACGTGTGTGTACGTGTGTGTGTATTTGTATTTGTGCGAAAAGAGCGCGACGGGTAGGAGCTAGAGGAAGGACTTTGCACAAAAGTAAGTGGTAATGCGATTACCGGGTTTAACTCGTGGGAAGGGGAGGGGTGAAGGGGAGGGCAATACGAGAGACAGTCGACTGAAAACAGATTATTTTAATTTAAAGCAACAAACTCTCTGATTTTCGTGCGCTGTAATCCTAACCGCGAGTATGGAATGTATGTACGTGTGTGTGTGTGTGTGTGTGTGTGCGCGCGCTGCGCACGGTTCCACAGTTTGAAAAATTATCTGTTAAATTGTTGAAAAAGACTGACGACGCGTTTAATCAAAAGTCAAAAAAAAAGGGACAAGAAACGGCTCTTTTGTGTAGACATTTCAGAATTGTCGTAAATTTATTTGAAAGTTTAAAAAGCGCGTTGCTGCAAGTTGAAAATGCTAAAACTCTTTGGGTATAATAATTATAACAATATCCACACACACACACACACACACACACACACACACACACACACACACACACACACACACACACACACACACACAAGGGGCATGGAAACGCGTTTTGCAACAACAGAATATGCCAAAGTAGAAAGAAGACGGGAATGCGTTAATTAAAAGCAGGTCAGTGACGTGAAAAATTAATAAAAAAACATGAAACAAGTGAAATGCGCGGGAGACACTTTTCGGACAGAGTTGGGAAATGTGCAAACAGCTGGGGCGGGTCGCGCAGCCTTTGCGGAAAAGAGGCGAAGATGTACTCATGGTAATGAAAATGGCAAAAAGCACTCCGGTGCTAATTAATGGAGGATCGTTTTGTGCTCGAAATCTTTTCGCCTGGCACTTCACGGATTTTGTCGGAAGGATGGGGGGGGGAGAGGAGGAAGGGTAACCTGTTTTAGGATTTCGATTCTCGTTTCCGTCTCTACGCCCAGCACCGCTCCTTTCGCATCCACTGTTTGTATTTCCGGCGGCTGCATTAACATTTTTCTCAGATTAGCATGGCTCGCAAACGAATGTAAAAAAAAAAGTAGCACAAATAGCGAGCACCGTTGCGTATAAATATAAATACATAAAATGTATTACGCGCATCAGAAAATTTCAGTTTTCAGCAGTTTGTTATACGCACCTTTTTTTGCGTGATAAAATTTTGCATTTTTTTAAACGTGTACCTACGCGTATCGCACAGATCACGTGTGTGTATGTGTGTGATAGAACGAATAAGGCACAAGCGTTGTTTTTCTTCTCCTGAAATCAGCTTTCACATTTCGTGTCATGCGCGTAAAAGGAGGAAATTGACAGGAATCGGTACATGTAAATTATCCACGATAATAATCCACTCAATTCAAACGCACCTTTAATTTAGCCGCCTCGTTAAGAGATTATTCGATGCTATCGTTTGCCGATCTCGTAATCGCGGTTAAACTCGATATGCGATTAGTATGCGGGCAAACACGCAATATCTCTAAACAAATACGCCACTTCGATAAATCCCGCGAAACGTGTGCACGTAAGCTCTCTCGCTGCACACCTATAGCGCCCGTAATTTATTTCACCAGACGGATACTCCACTCCGAATACCAAACTTATAAAGAAAAGATATCGTCTCCCTGCCCTTTCTCGACGTCAGAACGATGCCGGACTGATACTGATAAAACCGTTCCACGGTCAAACGTGTTCGGAAAGGAATCGCGGATACATGGATTCGTGGGGTCCTTTTGTACGCCCGATTGATATACCTACCACACGTGAAAGGAGAAGGCGCTGTATTATTTCGCGTGGTCGGGTCGACAATGCACGGAGAGATTCTGTGCGCGAATCGCAAAGTCAATAAAAATCTATCTTCCTAAATAGCTTGACCTTCTCTTCGTAATCTCTTATCGTAATGATCATTAATATATCATTATACGATCTTGAAAAATTTTCTGAGCGCCATTTAAATATACGTAGCTTGTGCTTTTAAAAATACTATACAGCCGTGAGCTCTGTACAAATGTGTTTTCTTGAGTTTGGTTAAATTAGATAATATGGAAAAAAAAACAATGAATAAATTATCCGATACCAAGCTGTTTTATTTTTGGAAACGTTATTTTCTATCATTAAAAATAAGCGAGTTATTTCAGGCTGTTCTAGATATCGCCAGCTTGTTAACGATGGCTTTCATAACTTTGTGTATTAATAATTCTTAATAGTTGCCTGTCGCGTCTCTCTTCTCCCTTGTTGGACACGTGTGACGTACAAACAAGATCTCACGCTAGACCGACGATTCAGAAATAAACTTTTCATTATCCCGTTAATGTCAAGAGTCGCGCAACAGTTTTCAATCGCGCATTCACGTCTATATAATTAAAATATCGATCCAGACCACAATTACCGCGTTAGCAGCTACGATTTTACATTTGAACTGAACCCCTTTTGCCGTATCAGGAATCACGTCGCTGTTATGCGATTTGCGGACTATTTGCACGACGATAAGCAAGGCCGTTCCGTAAACTGGATTGCTATCTCTTGGTCAACAATAATACTTCCAAACCGCCATCGCAGGCGTCGCGACCGTTTCGGCGTCCGATCAGCGAGGAGAACGAGCTGTCGACATCGCTTTGAATGCCCGACCATAAGAGCGTGGGAAGTCGCGACAGGACTTCAGATAGCTCTAATGGAGAAAGAGATGTTAGATGGTTAAGGCCGTCGCGGCAGGAAGCGAGCCCTCGTGGTAGAAACGCGAGCGATCGGGAAAGATAGAAGCGGCGGGGATGGTGTGTAACATCCCGGCGTGCATGTGTGCACGTGTGTATGTATACGCCGGCGAGACAGTGCAAAAGAGGGCGAGAGTAGTGAGATTCGCGTAGAATCCCGATGGTTAAGTGGTTATCTTATCTTAACGGCCGCGCCGCAGCATCTCACCAGTCTGGCACCCTCTAACGCTCCCTAAACGGAAATTAACACCCGCCCCTACGTCCTCGCAAGTCAGCCTCGGCACTCACGGCCTCGAGCAACGCAAAAATCAATGGATATTATATCGCGAGTCACACAGCGCGCGCGCACACACACACACACACACACACACACACATACGGCATGCCTGTGTCGTGTTCCTACGATCCCTCGCGAGTTGTCTTATCGTGCAAAGAAAAGTGACGAGGAGCCGCGACGTAAACACCTCCTCCTTCCCCCCCTCCCCCCTCTCTCCCGCCCGACGTCGGCGGCACCCTAGATTGTTTGTTATAATAAAACTGCTAATTTCCTGGAGGTGGCATGTCAGGCTCGATCGTCCAGACCCTCGTGTACTTTCGCACGGTTTGCGAAGCAAGATAAAGGCGTCGGGGAGGAAGTGACGCGAGATAAGAGCTTTACGGGTGGGCACCCGCGCGGTTTTACCGTCGCATTTTAGATGAAAGCGCGCCGCCATGACGAATCCCGTTAATGGAGAAACGCAAATGCAACTTACGGGCGGCGAGAACACGTTGTCGTTAATACCGATGTCGTGGTTTCTGCATAGAGATACTTGAGACGTGCCGAGTCTTCGTTGCATTCGATCTATCTCCCTTTAACCATTCTCTCGCCTGGCCGTAAAACCGAATTTCTTATGCGAAAACCTGATATATCAATATATCAAGCTATAATAGAAAGAGATTTTGTTCTTATCTGCAAACTAACCTGCTTCACATTATACTGGCTGCCTTCCTGAGATAAAATTAACGTATTGCAGACGAGAGCTATTCATGGAGAAGGTACATTAGCGATTTTTAGAATTAACACGAGAAATGAGGAACAAGAAAACCCGTATAATATTTAAATTTAAATTATCTCGAAACGAACGACATAGTGGCGCAGGAGGAGGGGGAGGGGAATAAGTTTATGGAACTTCGTGAATGGCAAGGGAGCCATTCCGAAATTATTCCTTCTATCGGTAACGAAAACAAGCTTGCGCTACCTTCCACGGGTCTCTCCACGATAGCGTGTGCCGAGTGCCGTAAAATAAAATTACGCAATCGGCAATACATAACAAGTCAGTAGGCCAACGGGGTTTTCGCCGCTTCGGCACACAATAACCAGGCGCGCCCACGCCAACCCCCGTCGGGGGATCCTCCCCCTCCCCCCCTCGCGCTGTGTCTCCTCGTTTCGTCGGCTATGAATATTCTGGAGGAAAGTGAGAGAGCAGGAAGGCCGCGAGGGAGAGATGGAAAATAGGAGAGGATAACCGACGGTGTATCGCTTTTACCGCGCGATATACACGGTCGGCGTGTGCATAAATGTCAGGCGCATTAATGATAACGCTCGATATTCGGCCACAGGTCTCCGTGCCGGAGGAGGGCGAGGACAAGGGACCAATTTGCCCCCCGCTTCCGGCGCAGTACCATCCAGCCACCTACAGCACGACGACGCCGCAATTACACAAAACCGTCACGGATTACACCGGTTGGTACCAACGTTAAAAGTCATGCGCTCAAGCATTTCCGTTCGCGTCGATCCCAGCTCGGGATCGTTATTTGGTTCACTTTCAACCGGGATTACGGTAGTTAAAGTATTGATAAAACGCTGCACGAATACGCACAAGTGCCCAAAGATTTCTTTTAATTCTAATTGTTGCAAGAGTTCGATTGTTTCCTTAAAACGCAACCGTTGCAACTTGTATCGAACCGATGTTCTTTCGAATGCTGAAACGTTCAACTTTTAAAATCCGCTAATTTCGTCAGTAATGCAAACGTTTCCATTTTTGTTCTTTCCTTTTATTACTTTTTTTTATTATTATATTTTTTAGTATTTCTCTGTGTTTACTTTTAATTTTTATACAAGTTCTTATTTCTTCCTCTATCATACTTTCGATCCATTTCATCGATAATTTGCCGTTATAAATGTCTTTTAAGAAGTTAATTTATTGTCTTCAAACAACGACGATATCAAAAGTTGATCGGCATTCCCGGTTACGTTCAATTTTATCAAAGACGTTTCCATTTCCGTATTCACTGACTTCGCCCCGTCTCGACATGGATAGTTTCGTGTTATCGCGGGAATTCTAACAGGCTGTCCCGAGTGACGGTCAAGCCCGAGGTTTCGAATCTCTGCGCCTGGTTTTGCCGCGGCCGCACGACGTAGTTGGAATAGTCGACAAACTATTCCGTTGCGTCTCGTAGTTGGCACAGCTTGCTGGACACAGCGGGAGCCGCAGTCCGCAGAGAGACTGTTTGTCGCGTCGCGCGACCTTGTTTAATCGAATTAGACTGAGGTCTTTGATTAATTAACTATCGGAAACAGCACGCTGTGACTCATCGACAGGTCGCACTAATTTTGCGAGTCCGCAAATGTCACAATTACGCCGTTGCCGCACCGGCGAGCCTGCGCAAGACGAACGTTGGTATATATAGGAAATGGCAATATCGTAATAAATTGAAATAGACATTCTCTTTCTCGTCGCCTCCGAGTTTCCGGAAGAACTTCATTCGCTGCAGCGCCGGATGACGTTGGAGTTTCGCGGCGCTGCACGGAGTTCTCGTTAAAAAATGGTAACGATCCCCCGAAACTTGGAAACTCGTAGACGCGCCGAGAGAAACGGGAAGGTGTTGCAGGCGGCAATTCCTCTCGTCGACGACCAGCCGTGATTATATATTTTTTTAACTTTGTCGAATTTCTTGATTCTTTTCCGCTCTCGCGCCGTGCCGCTCGGACAGGGATCAACGAGGTGCAGCCGGTTATTCCGCTCCTGCTTAACTCGACGATCAATCTTGCCAGGCCAATTCCGGCGGTCCAAGAATATCCGTCTAACCCGCCGCCCATACCGCCCCCGCCGGAAAAGTATTACGCCAGTACGGAGATCTGTAAGGTGAGTCGCAAAAATGTACGGTAGACATGCGATCCGCGCACGATTAAGCCCTCCTCTAGCATTAACGCGGGGTACTTCGAGCGCTGAAACTGTGTCAAACGCCACCCGTCTCGTGACCGTCGGATCTCCGTCACGATCGCCGAAAGGGAGGCAACCTTGTAAAACCGGCCACTGGGGCTTATGTAAATCGAGCGAGGTTAATTCGAATATTATACCGCTTGACTTTTCAATTTTCGCTTTCTACGCTCTGAGATAGTTCCAATATACATGTAATATCTCCGCTACCGCGCAACGTGAAATTGTTTCAAGAAATATTGCTCACACAAGTATCGAGTAAAGTATATGTACCTTTTTTTTTCATGAAGATTACTTAAAGCCACTATATATTATTGATAAATAATCTCTTTACAATACTGAAATATTTCTATTTGTAAACCTATAATAATTATATGCAGAATAAAAAATATTTTTTGACGTATCATCGTATTGTGCATATCGACTCCGACTTAATCTCGTTTTCAACCGGAGTTGTTTTCTCTATACAATATGCACGACGCAAAATACTTCATCCTGTGAATTATGAGGATTAATGACCGAAAAACGAGGAAACAACGGGGCACTATCAATCATAACTACCGCGAAGAAAACATCTTTCGTGGGCATACACAGATTATAGAGCGATAATGTAAAGGGCGTGGTTATTGATTACAGTAGTTCTATCACGGGAAGCGTACATGTGTATTTCTGTTTGATTACATTATCAGATTTGATTAATTTACGAGGGAAGCAGAATTGTATTGAAAAAGGTCCATCATGATTATGAATCGATATTATCTTTTATTTAAATATTTATCAAAGTATATTTTCCTTCATGTGAAAAGGAAGAAATATTTATTTCATTCATATCGCGATATTATACTTCTTCCATATTTTTCAAATGATTTCGTTCAGCGACTAAAAATATAAATATTTACTTACAACTATTTGCTTCGACATATTCACATTGATATTACACTATATTAATTCGAGAAGACCTAATTTTGAATTCGCGCATGTGTGTGCCATCACAGAGTCCTCTACCACCACTGCCACCCTCGCCGACAGCAAGTACGCCACCGCCAATGAGTGCGAAAGCCTCCAGCAGTATAACCAGCTACAGTCCGGAGGATATGCTCACGGAGGAAGAGGAGGAAATGCCCGAGTGTGTCCTTGATTTTCCACGAGAAAAACTCAACATTGTTGAAAACCTCGGCTGCGGATACTTCGGCGATGTTCATCTCTGCGAGGTCGACAGGTTTCCTGGGTACGATGAGGTCTTCAGAAATACCTCCAGCGATCTAGTTATTGTTAAATCCTTAAAACCAGGATCTTCTGACGCTCTTAGGTAAGAGTCCCATGTGTCAATTTCTTTCCACTTATATGAAAATAAGATACGAATATTAAATACTTTATCTTTTAAGGAGAACAATCGGCTCTTGAGAATTGAAAAACATCAATCGCAAATGATAATTGACACATTCTAAAATTTTTAATTTGATATATTATTTATTTTTTAATGAAAAATTTTATTTTTTTATTTTATTCTTGATAAACATCTTGAAAGATAATATTTAATATAACGTTATGCGATAGCGTGAAATTTCGCATTGATTGAATTTTTCTCGATTTACATAAATGTATATAATAACAAGTTCTGGATATTGAATATTTTATTTTTTTAAAGAGAATAATTGTTTCTTCAGCAATTGAAAAACATCAGCTGCAGTCGCAAATAATAAGTGATTCTAGAATTTTTATTTAATATCGTATATATATTATTTATTTTATAATGAAAAATTCTGTCTTTTTATATATTCTGCTCTTGTATCCTGTTAAATATTTTGACATAATAATATTTAATATTTAATATTAACGTTATACGATAGCGTGAAATTTCCGTCCATTGAATTTTAGCAATCACTGTCAATATTGCATCGACGTATTAATTAAATCACTTGGCATTTGGATAATGCGGAAAGAGTTAAAGTATAATACACGGACTTTTGGACAAACCATATATTTTGTATACGAAGCTTTGGAGCCTCGGGAGAGATAACTGCTCTTACGGCAAATAAAAGCGGAAAGCGAAAGCAATACGTATATACGAGGAGGATAGAAAATTATTCCAATAGATTATAGAGTGCCGCGCTAACGGCGTAATTCAATAACGCGGCGCAAAGTGATTCCGAATGTAATGACACGCTACGCGCATTAAGTAGATGCGGCCGGATAATGCGGAAGGGCTTTAAGCGATCGATGATTGGCATGTAATCGAATAACTTGTCCGTGCTCGCACGCGCATGTCCGCGTCAATATAATTTTTCATAATGCGACGGAGAGGGTTCTCCCGCCTTTAGAAAATTGGAAACGTAAAAGTACTATTCTGTATTCAAAGCGCCTTTCTGCGGGGGCCGGTGCAATTCAGCGATCGGCAATATGAAATATTCGTCAATAAACTTGTTTATCCTGAATGTTATTTATGTTTCCCAATTTTCGAAATCCCCGTCCCCGCCGCGGGCGCGTCTAAATCCACCATTACGACCTACTTAGCGAATCAGCGCGTATGCGCTGTACGTGCCCCCATCCCGGGCTTTTTCAGTGAAATATTTGAAAATCACTAACCACTGATTACAGAAGAACGATACTCGCGCAATATGTTTAATTGGATAATATTGTATGAAGAAAATAATTATTCCACGCGCTCTATAATGAATATATAAAATACAATGAATAAAAATTACAAATTGCAGCGAGTATAATACCTCGTATTACGCGTCGTACGTAATTACGTGTAATACGCAATATACCGCACGCGATCCGATTCGTCTCGAAACGGATTTGTTTCTATAAGGGACACACTTCAGAAAAATCTAGAATCCACGCGTGAACGAAGGTACTCGCAGCTCACAACCATGAGCACTAGATCAGCCAATAAAAGACATCCTTTTATTGCATTCGCGATGCCGCTATAACAACGTTTTGTTCGTCGGACGATTGCGATTTTCCCTCGGAATAGGCCGATAGAGATAGGTACGGGCAGCGGAGCGCGTCGTGCCGGATTCACTGGCCCGACGACGCGCTGTCGTCGCAGTAGCGAAAGGATGATCCCCCCGCAGACAGGATCACGGATGGCATTGTCTGCAAAACACATTTTGCCGGGGCTGGGAAAAGCCCCGCGAAACCCGTGTTGTCGCGCGAAATGGATGCAACTCATGTTAGAGCGCAATCGTTCTCGGTGGCCTTTATTCTTTTCCACGCTCTTCTTTCCGTTGGCTACAGCATTCCGAAAAAAGTCTATCAATCCAATCTGCCTGATAGATTTTCGTTTTTTGATCCTATTACATCTCGTCGTCTGACGATTGAATTTCCCCGATGCAAAAAGGAATTTTATTTTCCGCGTTGACATTTTCAATTAAGTAATTTTATGTCGCGCGTTATACACACGCGTATTCTATATGGAAAAGATATACTGATGGTTTTTAAAATATTTCCCAAAAATTAATATGATGTATAAAGCACAGTGACCGACCAAATGCGTATCTCATCAACGAAACTCAATATTATAATACATCGCATTTATTTGAAATATATTCGTGTTTACTTCTCTAAATGAAAGCGCGCTCGACTATGCAAATGCGTTCAAGTCAATAAAAATGCAAATTTTTTTTATAATTTCGCAGATATCATGGAATTACTAAAAATTATCTTGTGCCGTAATGTCTATAAAATGGTCACTTTTTACGGTCAGAAAATTGTTTATTCAGCTATAAAATAATAAATTGGCTCGTTAATCGCTACTATAATTTTCCATTGAGATGATAAAATGAGGAGATGATTTTATGTTAAAAAAAAAAATTCAAAGGGATATAGGTTTCTATTTTCAGTCTATTGAGTCCTTGTCGAAGCTATTCGGCGGTTTATATTATGTTCTGCATCTCACCGAAATTTACTCACATGTGTAGCACAATAGTCGCGGTCTTTATTCGCGGTTGTCCTTATTCGTGACTCGCGCTATAATCCTGTGGGTAAAAGTTTCTCTGTTACCCTTGGCACTTTTGTATCGCTTTTCCCGCTCGCTCCCTTCCCGTCCCACTGTTCTTTCTTTCTCGCGAGACAACGAAAACTTCTGAGAGACAAGCGAGCGATACCGAAACGGAATATCTGCATTATATACCTCGAGTGTATATATCCACGTCCGTATTCAATACTCACGGCCGTGGTACCGCGGGCACCTATAAAGATATTACTTCCGGATGCTCTCCATGTGTTTTCCAGGATAGAATTTCAACAGGAGGCAAAGAGACTGGTACGACTCGCCGATCGAAATGTCGCGCGGCTACTCGGTGCCAGCCTCGAGAACGATCCCATGTGCATCGTATTGGAAAACGGCGAGTACGGGGATTTGAATCAATATCTGCAGAGTCACATCGCCGAAACTTCGAACCTGCACACGGCCAAGACACTTAGGTATGATAAACACGATACTTTTCTTTACTTAAAACTTTAATTTCCGCTATTTAATTGTATATTGTTAATTTTTAACCTTCTGCCCGGAATATCGGTCATTATGACTGCTAAGGTTCAAGTTTTCAGATATATATTTTTCGTTATTTGATTGTTTACTAGAATGGAAGACTGATGGAACGTAACTTATTCACAATTTTGTTCTTAACGTTTTTGAGATATATTCAATTTGTTTGTTGTTTTTTTTTTTTACTCAAATTGTGTTCCGAATTATCCCATTCCAAATGATCAAAGATCAAAAATTGGGTGTTCCGGGTAGAGGGTTAAGCATTTAAGCGCGAAGATCATGTGTGCATAATATTCTATGTAAAATTTATATATATATATTTATATATATAAATATAAATAAATAAATAAATAAATAAATAAATAAATAAATAAATAAATAAATAAAATATATATATATTTATTTATTTATTTATTGATGATATATCGGTGATCATTGCACATCACACTTTAGATGTTAACGTGTGCTTTAAATCGAGGGGTACTACTTCATTACAGTCCTTGGTCATTGATAAATACGCGCCATTACGTTTTTAAGAGATCGTTGGGGAATTCGATTCACACATAGCCGGCGCGGTACATTGACGAAAAATGCATATGTATCCCGGACATGGTCGTTATTCGAGTAATTAACATAATTTAATGAACACAAATTTGATACTACGGCCGCGGAATAATTTGTAACATCGGTACCATCGTATCATTTTAAAAGCGATACATTATCGATGTCCGCTTTAATGCACACTGCCAATCGGCATTGCGACACTCGAAGTAAATAACATATCATCCGAAATAGATACGCAATTATGTGATCATCACCATTTTGACATAAAATCAATGAACCATATTTTGATGTGCCCCAAATTTCACGTTGATACGCGATCGCCGTACTTCCGCGTAAGTTGTTGCGTCTATATTATATAGGCGCATCACTTTTTCACGTTTTATCGACAGATAATAAATCCATTTAATTAAAACTAATAAAATAAATCTACTTAATTAATTAACAACGCGAATTGATACGCGATTTTGTGTCTATTAATTGACTAAATCCATTTAAAGTAACAAAAATATCAAGATTGTCGTGTCGTCACATTACATAATTATTAAGTGGTTTATCGAGATTTCTGACGCGAGAAGCTGCTACAATATCACACGAAAACGTCAAACGTACGAAAAGTAATTCCCGTGTGCGAAATGATTACCTTTTACGTTGTTATAAATGCACGATGATAGGCATTCGAGCAATAGGCCTCCCGCGGGTCGAATGCGACCGTGCAAATTTTTGTTTTATTCTGTCGCCGCGAAGAACGTCAGTTCCAATCAGTCCGGAGGGCGCGTGAAAACGCACGATGACCAGGACTATGCGGAAAGTACTCGAAATACGAGAAATCGGCTGAAAATGAGAGGTGAGCGACGGAGAGGATCATCGGTGCTCGTGACAGGTGTCGGCGAAGCGTGTTTTCCCGCGCGATCGTTTTCAGCTTTCGCGCGAGATGAAGCAGTCGCCGTCGGAGGATCGCGCTTTGTTCCCATCGAGTGCCGCGGAAAATATTGATGTACGGGAATATTCAATCATTCGTGCCTATGCAATGCAAATAGCGCCATTTACTATTTCGCTGTCGCAAAACAACGGTATAATGTCACCGTTGCGTTTTCTAATCTCATCGTTTACAAATTAATACGAATTTGTTTTTTTTCGTAATTCTTAACGCTATGCACGTTACGCATCATTAAGACGCGAAACAGAACTGATGTTTATTACAATAATATACAAGTTGTATTTTCAACAATTTAATTTTTCGAGAGACCGAAAGAAATTAGATCCAAAAAAAAAAGATCCAATCGTTTGCGCGGATCACGCGACGTAGGTGCAACTTCATTATACTGTCGCATTTGAGCAACTTGCGCTTAACTGCCACACCTACCTGCAGCAGTATTCCCCGAAGTGGTTAATTAAATTGCCGACATATGTACTGTCGTTCATAAACGAAATCGTGTTCATTTATTTTCGCGAGTCCGCCGTTTTAACTGCAGTCAGTTTGTCGCACGAGCGAATCCAATATCCAGGACCGAGCTTTCAGTACGGCCGCTTTCTACGCCGGTAACCGAATTGCATTTCGCCGACGTCGCAAATGAAGCTTTAAGAATCGCGACGCTGAGTCGCCCGGAAAATTTTTACACAGATATTGCGCGATATTAAACACGTCGTACGTATTGAGAATGCGCCTCCTGTTTCCCTCAACTGGACTGCATACGGGAATTAAATCCAATTTATGTAATTAACATTCACGCCGTTTCGTATCGTAAAACAATAATATACATAATATATATAATTATCGATATTTTCAGCTAAAGAAAAAACAACTGAAAATTATTATTAATTTAAATAAGGCCAATATTGCGAGATGTATGACGCTGTTTCGATTCAGGAATTACTTTCGTATTATAATGTATGCAGCTCTAACACTCCAATTTTCGAAGCAAACGTTTATTCGGCCAATAAGACAAGAATATATTGACGTATTAACGAATCAAATATGGATTTTCCTTGCAATCCTTTTACATATTATTACTATCGTTTCATACATGTATATACCCACGTTTATGTCGCAACAGCGTTAAGCGTAGGACGACATGCTACCAGTCGAAACGACTCTATCGGCGTACCTCTCGCAGAAATAGCACGCAGAGCCGTTTCGACCGTAAATGGTTTGCATCCCACAAGCGTAAATAGTAAAAACGTAGTACCCAACTACCGTCGTCCTCAGAGAATGCCAACGAATGCGAGCTAACGCTCGATCGTAACTAACGTACGTTTGTCGCACTTTGCCTGATTTTCAAATTCAATTCTGCTGGAAATAGGAATAATACAGAAACACAAGACGGGTACATACTATATGTATATGTACAAACGTAAAGAAGCTTAATATCCTTCAATCTCTTTTGCTACAAAATGGACAAGTGGAAGTGTTACATAAATCTTTATATAGACTGATTGAATATATACTGTATTACTTATTACCAGTATGAAAAAGGTATTTTTTATTATAATAATTTACCATTTCTAGTTATGAAAGATAAAATGTCTGTTTATATAAGGAAGAGAACACGACAAGTTAATTTAGACTCCTTGATTTACTTTGTAAATTAGTTTAAGTAACAGGAATATCTTATTTTACTTCCATCAAAAATTGCTCGACTGAGTTGGTACGGTCGAGTGTCCGCTGTTTGTGGCGTTGCTTGCTACAAACGCCTTTATGTATACTGACGAGTTTCTCCAAGTAAACTTCACGACGTAACCGACCCCCCCGTTCTTCATGTTGCAGTTTCGGCACATTGGTTTACATGGCCACGCAAATAGCATCCGGCATGAAGTATCTTGAGGAAATGGACTTCGTACATCGGGATCTCGCCACAAGGTAAGCGTGCACTGTTTCCCATGCATAAGTTGCTTTGAGAGTTGCTTGCTCATTAATGAACGAGCTGTTGTTTGCCATATTATTGGGTTCCCAGTCTTGAAAGCGAAACTAAATACATGCACCGCAGAGAGTATCCGTCAATTTTCCTTTCCTTCTGACAAGCTTATAACGAGAGCAGAATGCAGACTATGAAATGATGTCCTCGATGAACTAGCCAATTCCTTTTTTTTTCTATTACAACGAATGTAAGAGAGATGATTTCTTAAAATTTTCGAACGTGATGAAACAATCAGATTTTTGATATTTTATAATTTATTAACATTTTTATATATTTGTTTTTAATTTTCATTAATTAAAAAATCGAATTTTTTAATTAATGAAAATTGATAAACATCATACAATGTTCCTTGAATCCATATTTGTGATTATAATTATATATATTTAATTTAAAATAATTACGAGATAAATCGAAATAATACGTTCGATCGTAACATAGCTGTACAGCATTTGTTTGGAAATCCATTGAATTTCTCCAATCTTAATTTCGTTTCCAGACGAACGCTTTAATTTGTCTGCAGTGATTCGCAATGATCGCTAGACGGAATCGTTTCATGCATCGGACAAACAAACAAACAAACAAATGCATACTCTATTCGATCTTTTTGTAAGCGTACGAGAGCATGCCTCTGGGCATTACGACGGGATTGCTTTATTACAGCGGCCGATTGTTTTATCGTCTCATTCCCCTTCCCTATACGTAACGGATTCCACTTGCCCCTAGACCGTGCTTTTCCACCCTCCACGCGATTTGGAAACTCTTGAAACCCGACAGCGCCGGCAGCGCCGGCAGCGCGGCACGACAACCAATATCGTAGAGCTATTAAAAGCAGGAGGGAATGAGATAGGCACGGCCGGAAGGGTTTCGGCCGTGTGTTCGAATTATTAACTCTAATCGTAAACCTTAATTATCATGCCCCGTGGCGCGATCGTTGTCGCAGACAGTAGCGAGGGGTACAAGAAGCTAGACGAAAGGGATGAAATTTATTCGTGATTTATAGAATTGGGTTCAGGGCTAAATTCTAGCGGCGAATGCGGCAACTGGCGAATAGTTCCACTATTAGGAAGTAAGTGGTATGGTTACCGTATGTGAGAATTATGCTAATGGCAGAACGGGAACGAAGTGAAGAATAATGAGTCCAAAATGATAAATCGATTTGTTATTCGCGTCACATAAATCCAAATATTTATATACGTTATACTTTTTTAGAACACTACGAGATTCCTCGTAATTTTGTATAGATATTTAATGTCTTTTGTAATTTTCATTAACTTTTGTAGATGTATCATGCGTACGAAATTATATATGAGCTAGCATAATACATATAGATCCGCGCGATTTCGGAGTGATTCAAAAAAATCGTGAAAGAGCATGATTGCACTTGAATTCCCGGAAGGGAGTGAAAAAACGTTGACGAGCAAGATTTTTACGGTGCCAAAAGTAGAAAAAAACTTGCCGGCAAATCAGGCAGAGCAGACGCAGACGTTGACAACGGGGGTGAAAGTATCCACCGGTGCGCGTAAAATAAAAGCGTCGTGGCAGCTACTAAACCATTCCCTCGTTGCCCCACGAATCACCCCTTTGCCGCGGAGCGCGCTAAACGACGAGGTTTACGCGCAAATCAGCGCGAAACTTGGAACGACCGCCGTTTTCGACATGCTCGCAACGAACCTACCGGTGAGCCGCTTAAATGCGAGAGCTTCCAAGAAGCGATTTTGCGCATCAGTCGTCCACAGCCACCGTATTTTACGAAGAAAATTTATCTGTTAATTATTGAAGAGTTTGTTCTCTAATTATTGCAAAGTATCGTCTGTTTTATCTTCCTCGATTATTTCATAATCTGTTTTATGCTGCGTCTTTGTCTCGTAAATGCGTATTGTATTAAAAGGCCGGAATATATTTATAACTATACAGAGAATTGAACTAAAAAACAAATTAAAATGAAAAATTTTAAACAATTTAAAATCTATTTCCAACTGCAGTACAAGAAAAAATCATAAACTGAAAAACTAGCGTTTAGTTATGCTCGTACGATATTTCGATAAACTACTCTGTTTGTTTTTGATACGGCTGCCACGTGCAGAATATAAAAAATAGAACGCACAAACACATATTCATTTAGCCGTATACTCGATACAAACCAATAGAATATTGCATAGTTGTACAGTTAGCAGAGATCTCATGGCCAGCGTTAATAAAAAGAATGGAAGTGTTAATTTGATCAAAAAAATAATTCTATTGTTTTTCAGCCCAAAATTCGCGAGATGGAAATATTTCGCGATATGTCACGCATGTGTGAGATGAGAAAGGCGCTTCACCGAAATTAAGAGAATATTTTTTAATGTTTTCCAGGAATTGTATAGTGTGTCGCGGATGCACGGTTAAAGTATCTGATTTGGGAAGCGGACGGAGCGCATATGCGGCGGATTACTTCCGTGTCGAAGGACGTCCTCCATTACCGATTCGATGGATGTCATGGGAATCAATGCTAATGGTGAGCGTGCAATGAGAATGCTTACTGTACACTTAAACACTATATATTTTAATTTAATCTCTCATTTTCTCTCTTTCTCCCCCCTGTCGATATTTTTCTCAATGCCTTTGGACATCAGGAGATTTAGCGTTCGGCATAGCTTTCCGCGTGTGTGCTTTTTCCGGAAGCTTCCGATTTAGACGGGGCGCTCGCGCGCGTTAGCGGCAATAAAGATCGGCGATGCGAAAGTTCGATAGAATTATAAATAAAAGAGAGAGAGAGAGAGAGAGAGAGAGAGAGAACAAATCAAATTGGCGCAAACGACTTTTGCTCGTAAACGAGCGAAATAGAAAAGCGAGGGGAGAGGGACAAAACGAGAACGCGTTGGATCGTTTTGATTTCACTCCACGCATGGGTGGGACGCGTCGTTTTGACGAACTACGGTTACGCATCCGCGCGATGAAATTCGGTTTTGCTCGGATGTGTACTTTTTTATATTGTTTTTCACATCCGGAAGTAAAACCTCTAGTCGCCATTATACATATCGCGCATTGCGCCAAGTCGAGGTTTTCGGCTGTCCGTTATAAATGCACATCATCGTTACATACTGCAATGAAAAAAAACATCTCTTATAGATTCACAGATAGAAGCGCGAAATATCGGGAAGATATACTCCGACATTTCACACATGGGTCATCAAAGATCTGTGTATTATAAAATGAGCCGTAAAATGCGTTTTATCAGTGAGATTAACGTACGATACGTTTGCCGATATCGCCATCTTTTAAATGAAATTCGCCAATTATATAATTGGTATTGATACCACGCGCCAAGCCACGTGCGATAAAATTGATTTAGAACTGCAATTGATTACTCTTCTTGTTAATCTGTCCCTTTCATTATGCAAAATGAATCGCATTAGATATTTCTGTTCGACTACATTAAAGGGGAAATAAAGAAATTTCAGTCTGTTATTTATGAAGGGTGAAAGAAAAATCGTCGTGATAAAGCTTAATCCCGTTATTGCCGGATGGAAATTAAGTTTCACGTTTCATTTAATGTATCTTGCCTTTAATTTCGCGATTGTCGCTTGCCAATATCGAATTGTCGATCCGCGAAACCGCTCGACATCAGGCCGATAGAGCTGTCTGCGGTCACGTTGGTATTAGCGAATTGAGCTCTTGTCCCATCGGCGGCGCGCGATACGCGTCATTGAGCTATAAAAGTGCCGGAGAAAATATGCGCGATACACGTTTGGAAATTCATTTTCGATGTTGAGCGGCTTTTTCGGCTTAACCGCTCGACAATCCAAACACAATCGTTCCGCTTCGCAAGCTACGAGCGCGTCGAACATGGCTGTTTCCGCTGGCCGATTACAACGCGGACGACGATGGAAGATACTCGCGTTTACTTTTCGCGAAAATTCGGAAAAATATGTGCCGACTGCCGACCCGGCGCGGAAGGAACGAACTTTTTCTGCCGACGCTTAAAAGTGTTACGAGCGCGCTGTGTCAGTGGAGTAATCGTTCGATAGTCGAACATCGCGCTACAGTCAAATATCGCACTGTAAGCGCTGCGACAGTTCGATAATAGTAATGTATTTAATAATGTAGTACAATTATAATAGTACATTTATTAATTAGTACATTTATTAAATTTGGCCGCATAAAATGTAAGATCAATAATCTAAGATAAATTTAAAAATTGATTGTACAAAGCGGTTTGAATGCGAAATTTCAATTACTGAAAAATTTAACGAATTAATCATTAAACATTCAATCATTTAAGCATATATGAAGATCTGAAAATATAAGGATTATAAACTTGGCTGGTTAATGGCGCAAAATTCCGAAAATACATATCCCTGTGAAACAATTATGCGAAGATAAAAATGATGTAATGAATCGTTAAAACTTTAAAAAATTATAAAGACTATTCTATAAAGATTATTCTTTTATATGTATATTGTTTTAACGTCTAATATAAATTTTTGTTTACGGTTAAGTAACGTTTTATCTGAAAAATTAATTATATACATCAAAGATATTTAATTTTAATATCTATTAACTTTGTATAGATATTTTAACGATGCTCTCTATTCTTTGTCATCATTTGCGGAAATAGTATATTTATTGTACCAGTGTAATGGCAAATTAATATCAAAATGGTGATTCGACGAAACAGAAATGAGGCTGGGAAATATAGTATTGAATAGCTATAGTTGGCGTCGTCATTTCAAACTGACTGCGCCATTAATGTTTCATTATTGCCCATCATTTATCCAGCCTCCGCCATTGTGCCGTGTTAATGAAACGATCCCGTTTCTACGCGACGAAATACGCGCTTCAAAAATTATCCGGGATTAGCGCCGATTTAATGGTTTCATATCGATCTTGCGATCATGGAGATCATTCTTCATAAGAGGGATCACTCGCGTCGAAAGCGTGCAACGCAGAGTTTGTTAAATCGCGACGCGATCATGTTTAATTTACCGCTATCCAGATTATTGACAAGAGTATTAAATAAAACATAACAGTCTTTTTAAAATAAAAAAACATTAATTTATACATTGAGAGAAAAATATTTTGTATTTGTGATTATAATTGCATGGTAAAAGAATTATGGTGAGGAGCACTATTTTTATAGTTATTATTACTATAATGTTAGTAATAATAACCTTATATGTACAGTCCAAATATGACAAAATTTTACTATAAATTATAATAATTTTACATATTAATATAGTAAAATATCAAGATATGTATGAGACAAATATGAAATAAATATTTTTATGCAGTAAATGCAACTGCAATTATAGTAAGTATAACTAATTTCTTAACATTTGCTTACTATTTATATTGTAATAATAAAAAATAAGTAAACAAAAAAATAATAATATCAATTATAATATATAACCATAATACATTGTTAAAGCAGCTATAATTTGCGTGGTTAAATTAATTATAATTTTATAGTTGTCTCCGAAATTCACTATCAATTATAGTTAAATTATTTCAACTATATTTTTTTCTCGGTGTATCACGTATAGAATGTAATAACACTTTTTTTCATTTCTTCTATTGTATCAAACGACGAACGTTAGCTTTATGCACCAACATACATTTCAACATGAACTTTATTGCTATTACTGGTTTATTGCTCGTGGTTAGACCGTGTTATTCATCGCATGCGCGTTACTTAGCTCCAACAATTTGAATTAATGTACGAGTAATGATGCGCATGTAATTTTGTATCGCGCACTTCATAAATAATCGAATCATGTCTTAAGATTCTCCCGACATGCGCAAACTACAAACTCTGCACGCATATGCAATCTTCTCAGCGTATACTACCGGCAGCAGAGATTATGTAATTTAAGTACCTGAGTCGCGATAATTTCACATCAAGTACACAATCGTTTATCGTAAATCGATTCAAAATTACGGTGTTATTATAACAGCAAGAGATCTTTCGCTTGTCTCTCCTTATTAATATTCCATCTTTGTGCCATTTCTGCTCGTTGACTTTTTCCATAACCTCGTAATTCGAAACGTTTGTTTTCGCAATCCTACTTTAAATCTTGTTGATAATAAGTATATAGTTACTCACTTTTTATAATTTATATATATATATATATATATATATATATATATATATATGGAACATTTATCTTCTATACACTTCCTCACAAAACGTTACGGTTGCATAATCGCAGCGTTGATATTAATTAAAACTTGTAGCTACGAAAGCTTTTATATAGTCTGCCATTAATATTTTATCATACAATTATTTTGCTTGACGGGTCATACACATGCCAATGGGAGCGGAAGGTACATCCAACCGTCAATGTGAGGAAAAGAGTAAAATCGTGTAACTGCTTTATGGCGTTCCGCGAAGCTTGGGCTTAACTGAGTTACCCGGTTGAACTTTGGGAAACTCGAAGGCGCATACAGTTTCCATAAATTACTCCTTCACGCTCAAACATTAGGTTTCCGCGTCGAGCAAGTCGCGCTTTTAATTATTTTTGCGGCTTACCAAAAACGGAATATTAACTTGAACGCACATCATAAAAAAAAAAGAATTCGTACTGTTGCAATATTATTTTTTTCAATAAGTAATCTTTATTCAAACGACGCACACGACGTGTAAGAAAAATTACTACCGAATAATTCAATTTCATACGCATTTCAGATGTATTGTACCGTGAAAATAAACTTATCCAATTATATACGAATGCTCGACAAATTCCGAGTGCTCTTAAGCTGCGAAATGTAGTAAATGCTGCCGGAGTTAACGAACGTAACAAACGAACTTTCGTAAAATTTTCTTTGGATGTGTTTACATTATGCAGGGAAGGCACACGTGCAAGGGTGACGTCTGGGCGTTCGCCGTCACGCTGTGGGAAATACTGACGTTCGCGCGGGAGCAGCCCTTCGAGGAGTTTCCGGATCATCGGATAGTGGAGAACGCGACGTACTTTTATCAAGAGGATGAGCGAAGGGTAAGTGCGCGGAGTAATTCTTCGACTTCTTTCCCTCATTGTGTCCGGCGTACTTAATGTAATGAGCGCACTGAGTACTTGATTTTGCGTTGAGTGCCTCACGAAGCTTTCAAGGCTTTGAACGCCGCTATTTATTCCGTCTTTCAGACTTCTGATTACCTTACTTCGTAGATTCTTGCTACGTTCTTTTTTTCCTTTCTTTGCGTAGCTCCTTTCAGGAGCAGTATCCGTACGTATCCGGCTTCTCTGAGACTATAACTGTAGGACAATTAACATCCGTTGAATAAGCAGGCTTAAATAAACGCGCGCGGTGTCGAACATGTAATTATAAAAGTGGGTCGCGAGAGTGTTTCCATGAAAATGGCAGAACTACTTGCTTAGTAATTCATATAATGTAATAAATATTGCGTCGCACACTCGAGTTCCCGTCGCGTTCATTTCCCCAACGTCGAGAGTACTTCAAAACTAACACGCGCACTGTAAGAATTGTTATTCCGCTCTCTCGTTTTGTAGATCGCGAGAGTTTGTTAATATTTACAAACGATTAATTGCGTAACAAATATTGCGATTAATTACCGCGCGTGAAATATTTTTATTACGTCCGTTCCGTTTATTTTCGTAATATCGCGTTAAATTGCAATGAGTCACGAACAATCTGCTTTTTATTTCGGTATAAACCCGAAAATAACCCGTCAACGTATTTATTATGTATTACACACAAAAGGTTCAATTCACGATATATACATAATTGATGACGTTAGAATCGACTTGCGTTTATTTTTGTCGCACAGATGATACTGCCACTGCCAAAAAACTGTCCCAAAGAGATCTACGATCTGATGCGCGAGTGTTGGCAGAGGAACGACGTCGACCGGCCAAACTTTCGCGAGATCCATCTGTTCCTGCAACGAAAAAATCTCGGTTACAAGCCCGGTGAGTCGAACGATACTTGATATAGAGAACTGGAAGGCTGGAACCTCATCCGGCTTTCTATGATCGGCGAATTAAACGGCAATTGGTGGAACTGCCCTTCATCGACCAAGCTAGACCAAGTCAGACCAAGTTAGTACCTAGGGTGACGATCCATAAATCGGCTATAACGAACGTAAACGGTTTGTGTGATGGCATGGTCGGATGCGTCCACCGTGTCGATGATATCGATATGGCACTTACGTGCGAGAAGAAGACGTAGGAGTTCACGAGCTCAGAACTTTCCACGGTTCACGACATTAATAATATCGCGGTTTTTTTTTCGGCCGTCGCCATAGGTATGAGTACATCGCTGTGAATAGCGCTGTGAATTTAATCGATAACAGGTACGAACTGCACAAATCACTGTTCGCCGTAAACGCAAACTGTCCGTGTGCAAACTACGAAGACACTGTCTATACAAAATTCGCTTTTCTATAATGATTCCTTTGCACGAATCAAAACTGCAGACCATTGTTGCTGCGAACAGATCGACATTCATCTCGCCGAGATACGCACAGTCTAACGATGCGCAGTGCTTGACAATAGAACGTTAATTTCTTTTTTAAATTAAAAAAAAACACTATTTTTTCAATTAGCAAGATTTTTGTACATATCATTTGATTAACATATCAAATTTGGAAATTTATAATTATTATACACGCTTAATTAACGTGATAGGTAACTCGATCTTCCGGCTTGTTCTCGTGCAACTTCTTCTCGTTTTTTTTCTCTTCTTTCGTTCGTTATCCTTATATCAATTGCCTACAGAAGTTACGCGTTGACCAAAACGGATAGCCCCGCGATAATGATGACCGAGTCTCCACGGCCTGCACCGTATCCCGACGCTCGTGCAATTGAAATGGATAGATTATGATTTTGATCCGTGGCATTCGATACGAAATGGAACGTCACTAGTGCTGGCAATACGAGGGGAGCACGTTCGATAAATCGCACATACGCTGTTCCGAAATTGATACTGTCAGCAAACAAGCTTATGATATTCCCGCCGTAACGGCACTCGTGTCACGTTCGGGATATACGTGGATCGGACTCGAAAATCGCGCGTTGTACGTAACATTTCCGCCGACGAATAACGTAGTCATTTCTAAACTTCAATTCTTGAAATTGAAAAAAAAAAGAGCGGACCTCTATTCAAGATCGAAGTCCGCCGACTTTCGCGATGGGAATACGTTATCCGTTCTCGGGCCTTTTATATGTCGGTTTCATAAACGTGTTTTACGAAAAAAAAACTTGTTTTCCCCCTCAAAAAAATATAGATCCATATATATATATTATATATATATATATATATATACACACGTATACATATACCGTTTATAAGACAATTAAGCGAGTTGTTGGTTTTTAGGAAAGCAAAATTTATGAGCGTATACGACCGAGTCGATTGTAATAATTAATGTGTTTAGGATGATGTTTAATGAAACTACTTTTACTCTCTGCTGCATTTTATTTCCCAGGCTATCGTTCGAGAAGACAAATGTAAAGACAAGCTAATTATCGTTCATCCAACCGTTTAATTGCACGACCAATATCCCTCCCTCCAATTCACTCGGACGACGATTTCTCGTTAACTTTTTAATTGAACACTCGCCACAGTGGTGCGCAGAAAGAATTATACGGACGTCGCTTCAAGGAGCTTATCAATGCACAAAAAAATTTATGAAATGGGTTAAGAGGAACATTCTGTAAAATTAATCATTGCGCCGTACAAGAAGCATTTTTTCCGAGGAGTACGGGAAAAGGAGTAATCTTAAGCCGCGTTAAGTTTGCGTTAAGTTCCCTTAAACTACTCTTAAGCTTAAGATGCGCTTAGCCGAAGTGCATAAATGTTTGACAATACCATTAGAGGTTGCAGTATAAATTCATATAAAGTGTGTAAAGAATGTTGAAGAGAGGATTAATCGACAATGTAAATTATTAGATCATTCTAAGACCGGCGTTCTATTGGCGGTCGTATCGCATAATCGTTTTAGAAAAACGTTAACTTTATCGATACACAAAACTTCTCTCGTGCCCCCGTTGCTCGTTGACTTCGGCGAAAGCCGAATGTATAAGACGGACGTATCGTGATTCTAGGAGGAAAAGAGAAAAGGAGCACATGTGACCTGACGTTAAGTTTATAGTGTGAAATAGAGAGACGGGCGATTTACCCGGTAAATGTTTTTGCTTCGTTTGACACGCATTAGAATTCTTTTCGGTTTTCTAAATGCTCATTTGATATAATATGCGCTTAATTATGCTTTTTTGACGATAAAATTTCTGAGATTATCATTTACTCTCTGAATTTCTTTTTGTCTCTCCACTCGAATCGATACACATATTCCTGCAGCGGTAAAAATACATTTCCAGGTAAATGGCTATCGTTAATATGGAATACTGAAAGACTTATATACTTGTTAGAATGGTTCTGTACGTGTAGCGAAAGAGAGGAAAACAATAGTTGTGCGAAACACGACAGAGAGATATTCCGACGTTCAAAAACTTGTACGTCGCGTAAATTCCGATACGTTGTTCTATAGGTACCTTGCCTCGCGCAGGCTAAAAGAGACTCATGCTCGTGATCTGTAAGATAATTAAGAGTAGAACATATAAGCGATGAATGTGTACGATTAAACAATTATGGAAAACGATTCTCGTTCCTTTTTATCCATGTCGTGTTCTTCGCGGGATTTACTTTAAGATTTATATCTCAGAAGTGAGACAAGTTAAAAAGATTTATATTTAATCTCAGATAAATACGTGAATATTTAGCAGTAGTTATTCAGCAGTAAATATACTTTTTAACCTTTATATCTTCTAATAATGGTTTTGTTTGTTTCTTTTATTTTTCCTTTCTCATTATCCAGAAAAGGCTAACTAAAAATTAAAGATTATTTGTGTCAAGATTTAAGTGTCTGCAAAAACCGACAACGACAAATATACACGATGGATGAAGAACGTTTTATATAATTTTATATCATTTCGTTCAATTAATTGTGTTTTGCTTGATTAATTGTCAAAATGAGAGGTTTCTAATATTGTCGTGACGTTGATGACTTAATATATATGAAGTTAAGGATCTCTTAAGGATTACTGCCACTGCGTTAGCGAAACGAATATATCGAGTGATATCCATCGCGACCCTTTAATTCGAGGTTCAGCGATCAATACTTTGTTGAATTATCTTAATTCTTTATATACCCATGTTTAATCTTTCAAATGTATGTAAGCGGTATGATTGCCAGGAAATCCGAACGTTCGATCCTGCAGGATTCGCGGATGTCTTTTACAGGGCCGATGTATATATAATTACTTGGGAGAATATATGATGTAGTGATAATTTTAGACTGAAGCTTCCTGTACGATCGAATGTGATTCAAGCTATGTTATACATTATACTTCTTCCTACAAAAAGAAATGTAAAATTAGAATCTTCCGCGTACATAGCTTTTTGTATCTCGGTCAATTTTATTCACTCGAATAGAAGGTTCCATAAAATACATGGATTTACATCGTGGATTAATATTTAACGGAAATGTAGCGACTTATTTTATATAAAAGGGAAACGTACTTTAAATAATACTTTAAATGATATAAACATATCTTTCTGACAGATCTATCATAATTATCATTGGAAATTCGACATATCGAATACATATCGTCTCTATTTACTTCGAAAGAAATTGTAATTGATTTTAACAAGTCAATTTACAACGGCAGTTCTTTCTGTAGGAAGCGTTCACTTTGACGTTCAGAGAAACCCGTAAGTGTGAAAATCATTGTAGATTATTACGTAATCGAATCAACTCCGCCGACTAGTTATTCTCAAGCATAGCGATAATCTATTATATTTAAAAGCGGACGGAAAAGAAAAACAACACTTTGTACAATTTTTAATAACGAAACTCTAACTGTTGTAAATGCGTCGACTCCGATCTCGTATTATACGTTTCTTCTAACGGGCGCGTCGGCGAGATGGTCGAAAGTGAATCAGGCCGCTGGAAAATCAAGATTCCTCCCACTGCGGAAGCCCCGCCCTTAAATCACGCACAGTGATATTTACAAACTGATATACAGCGTAATTATTAAGATACTTTAAATAGTACGAGGGTAAGCAAGATTTGTAACGAAGAGAGTGAGAAGAGGCGTTTGCAAAAATTTGTACAATGAGATTTTATACCGTCACGAAGCTCTCTCTCCGACGAAACACGTCGCTTTAATCGCCTAATACGTAACACAATTTCAATGCATCGACCAATATGTCGAGGAAGACAATATCGCGAAATGTGCTTCGGCAGTGGTACGAAATACGATTCAATGAGAAAAGAACTTTACCATTTCTCTGGCGAGCGAAAAAGATTTACACAATTTATTCGGGCATCGCTCGAGCGTATCCACGTTCGCCTGCAGTCTGATTTTCGTTGAACAACGCGCGTTCTCTCTTTTACCAGCTCAAACGAGCTCTATTTTTCATGCGTACGCAGCCAATGGCAGCGGCCCGATCGCGTACTCGCCTCTCGCCGTTAGACGCAAACAAAAGTCGAAACTCGGACGCTTCCCCGAGTACACGCGGATTCCGCGTTTGCCGATGGAATTTAATATCTGCTGCCTTCGTTACGAAACACACGGCCGGTGCTTTTTTTTCCACCCTTTTCCCTCACTCGTTCGCCTCATCCCTCCACTATTCATTCTTCGCGCTCGTTTCTCAATGCGATCGAGGAGGTATCAGTCGTCGGGAGAGAGAGACACGATCTTTTGCTTAAAATACGCGATAGAATCGAACGAGATGGAGCGGCATTACAAATCGAATTAAATTCCTACATCGCGTTTATATCGCGTTGTTGCATCGGATGCCAATTTCGAATTCTTTGATCTCAGGTAACCACACTGACATAGGTACGCGAATAAAATGCGTACGAGAAAAAATTTAATGATTAATAACTTCTTGCTAAAGATTTTTTCTACAAATCTTTTGTGAATAAATGAAAATCTATACTGTTTTGCAGCATCACGTAAAATTTAATGCAAAAAAGTGATTAGTGTAATCCATGAATTTAATGTTTCTGTGATTTTACTTTTCAAATATTCGCGTAAGCGTGAGCTCGTTTTTGATTTCTCAAAATCTTATTTGTTATTTGAAACATTGTGCGATGTGAAGCGATGCTTTTATTGATTTCGTGTAGAGAACTCGTCATATATCTCCAGTTCACGCTCGTCT